ACACCACACACAAACACACACACAAATTTTTTAAAGGAGAGTAGGAAAAGAACTGTTTCTTAGTTGATTAGTGCTATTAGTAAAGTTCTAATATAGTTCCTACATTAAACTGTTGATCAGGCTATATAACATCTTCAGAAGTTTTAGCTGTTTATTTTTATTTTTAGACAGGGCCTCCCTCTACAGCCTTCATATCAGCAATTCTCCTGCCTCAGCCTCTGCTGTGCTGGGATTATAGACATCAACCACCATACCACTTGCACTTGGTAAATGTTTACTGGACATTTATCATACACCAGAGATCTAGATTCTGCTAGACACTAAGGACTGTAATGCAAAGAGAACTTAACATTGAGGCAGGACACAGAGAGTGACAGCACATGTGATCTATTACCTAAGAAGCTACAGTGGGAACTCAGAGAGTTGCCTAGGCCATATTTGGAAGGTCAAGGAGGTCTTCCTGGAGGAGGTGTTATCTAGGATGAAACACAAGGTACGTACACAGCTGAGGAAACTGTGACTGTCAGGACAAAGGGTAGGTACGAAGGCCACAGAGAGTTCTCTGCTCAGGCCTGTCAGAGAAACTGAAAGAAGACTGCATTTCAGGAGGAAATGAGAAGACTAGTGATGGGGCAAAGCCTAGACAAAAAGAAATAGACTTGGGCTACATGATAGATGTCTGACTCTGTCTAGCATGTATGAAGCATTCATTGAAGACTCGGCACAGGCTGCAGGCTGGCATGACGCTGCAGAATGAATGTGTGTGCCTACTCCATCATTCCCATGTTGAAATTCTAACCCCCAGTAGAATAGTATTGGAAGCAGTTAGGCTGTAAGCATAGCGCTCTACTGTGTAATGTCTTTCTCCTGGCTGAAAAATGTTCCCTTCTCCAAAGGCAGAGGAAGAATCTCAAGACCTAAGAAGTTATCAAAGTTACAAGGCTCAGGAAGTTCCCAAAACTTACAGGAGTCACAAGTCCCCCTCCCCAAGGATATAGAAGTAGTAAGAGCTACAGGAGAGAGGAGCCCCCCACCCACAGAGCTGCCTACAATTGGGTAGAGCACCATGCTATCACCTATGCTGGGGTGATCTTTTCTGTGATGCAAATGCCTTTGAGTCACCATCTAAAAGTAACCTATCATCAATACTCCTGTCATGATTCCAAATAAACTCACTGGTTCACCAAGTTAGATGGGCAGAATTATTTCTTTGGTCTTAGCAAACAAGTCCTAGAGAGTTCCCTGGTCTTTTCCAGGGAAGATGGCAGTCTATGAACAAAGAAGCAGGCACTCTACAGACAGATTCTTAGACTTCCCAGCCTGCAGAACCATAAAAACATAAATGTGAGTTATGAAGATCACCCAGTCTATAGTATTTTATCTCATTTTAACAGATTAAACCAGGTGTGATGGCACACACCACTAATCCCAGCAATCCCAGCACTCAGGGAGCCAGAGGCAGGTGAATCTGTGAGTTCTACATATTGAGTTCCAGGCCAAATGAGACCCTATCTCAAAAAAAAAAAAAAGGAATGGAAAAAAAAGACCTGTTAAGCTGGGTATGGTGGTACACACCTTTAATCCCGGCACTTAAGAGGCAGAGACAGGCGGAACTCTGTGAGTTCGAAGCCAGCCTGGTCTACATAGTGAGTTCCAGGCCAGCTGGGGCTACCTGGAGAACTTGTCTCAAAAAGACCAAAAAAAAAACTGTTAGAAGAGTCTTGCTTGTAACAAATGTAGCTCCCAGCACTATCCAGAGGTGATAAAGAGAACCCAGATGAATTTCTAGGCATAATTCCCACCATGACGAAGCCAAGACCAGAGCTACTGCTTCTGGCATGAGTGTGGACAGAAGCTGTTCTATAGCTGTCAGCCCCAAGGAAGCTGCCTGCTGTGGTGACCCAGACCACAGAGGTGGCCACCTGGACTAGGATGGTGGCAACAGGAGATGGAAGGAGTGAAAACCCATGCGATTTAACTATAGTGAAGAGTCTGCAAAGGGGCTTTGTGGAGAGAGCAAGAGTGAAGGGTATTGTGCAGGTTTCTAGCTTAAAACCAAGAGAAACAGAAAGCACTGAAATAGAGAAAGCAAAAGGAGGAGCTGGCTAGATAGCTTAGTTAGAGAACTTACTGCATAAGATGAAAACCTGAGTTCAATCTCCAGCACCCACGAAAAAAGCCAGAAGTAAGGAGGCAGAGATGGCACATACACAGACATGTACACATGCATACACTACACACAAAAGTAAAATAACTTTACTTATGGAGAAAACCCCTAAATGTAAAACTTAGGTTTATATTGTACAAAACAGGAAAAAATTCTGAAAACATTTTTTTAAAGTATCAAAGTTACAGACTGTTTTTCTCCAGGTAGAAGAGAAGACATGAGAAGGAAGGGCTATTCTTTATTCATTTAGATACACAAGGTTCAGAATATGGGAAAAATTTAACAACTTCAATTTTACATTTAAGAAAAGCATTAAATAGTGTGTGAATACTATTTATTTTTACCCATAAAATATTACCACTTCAGGGACTGGAAAGATGGCCCAGCAGTTAAGAGCACTGACTGCTCTTGCAGAAGACCTAGGTTCGATTCCCAGCACCCACATGGTGGCTACGAACCATCCCTAACTCCAGTTCTAGGGGAATCCGAAGCCCTCTTCTGACCTCCACAGCATTGTACAACATGGGTGCGCTCACATACATGCAGGCAATAAACTCATACACATAAAATAAAAATAATAAATATTTAAAAAAAATATATTACCACTTCAGAACTGGACGTGATGGCACACACTTTTAATCCCAGCACTCAGGAAGCAGAGACAGGTAGATCTCTGTGAGATTGAGGCCAGCCTCAACAGTGAGTTCCAGATCAGCTGGGGCTACAGGGAGACCCTGTCTCCAACACAAACACACACACACACACACACACACACACACACACACACACGTCAGATCTTTATTTCTTTTTGTTTGGTTTTGTGTTTTGAGACATGGTCTCACTATATAGCCCTGGTTGTATGGGAACTTACTATGTAGCCCAGGCTAAAACTTATAGTAATCCTTTTGCCTTAGCCTCCTCTCCTCCTTCTCTCCCCTACCCCTCTCTCTCTACTTTTTTTTTTTTTTTTTTTTTTTGAGACAGGGTCTTCCTGGCCTGAAATTTACTATGTAAACTAGGCTGGCCTCAATCTCACAGATATCTACCTGCCTCTGTCTCCCAAGTTCTGGGATTAAAGGTATTTCTTCTTTCTCTTTGTTTTAAAGATAGACTGTTATGTGAGTGAGTGACTGATTGATGTGTGTCTGTGTCTATATAAATGCATGCACACATATACATGCAGGTGTATGCGGTCAGGAGGGTATGCCAAGTGTCCCCCTCTATCACTCTCTACCTATTTGAGGCAGTTTCTCCATGAAACTGCTCCCATTTCCTTGGCTAGACTGAAAGCCAGCAGGCCCCAGCAGTGAATGCTAGGATTCAAACTCCAGTCCTCGTGATTGCTCAGCAAGCACTCAACTGCTAAGCCATCTCTCCAGTCCTCTTCAGTCTCCATATATTTATATTATAGCCCACGTTCATTCCCAAAATATGTTAGAAGAAAGGAGTTCATCAGCTAGGCATGGTGGCACATGCCTATAAATTCCAGCACTGGGGAAGCTGAGGCAGGGAAATTGCCACAGTTGGACCGTATTTATAAGACATTCAGAATAAAAGAACCAACATTACTTTCCTTAAAATAGGTATGATACATTCTAGACAAATGAACCCAGAAGGTTAGAATTAAATTAAAACACAGGGTTTTTAGAAGTTGTATTAAATATATGTATTATAGTTATCATAAGCAGAGGTAAATAAAATTAAATGTATAGTTCAAATTGAACTGAATTCTTAAGTAACCCTAAAAATTTAAGACTATATCCTGTTTTATTTCACTACAGTTTAGCTTTCATAAGAGCTAGAATCTGCCAGATGTGGTGGTGCACGCCTTTAACCCCAGCACTCAGGAGGCAGAGGCAGGAGGATCTCTGTGAATTCAAGGCCAGCCTGGTCTACATAGTGAATTCCAGGACAGCTGGGGCTACAGGGAGACCCTGTCTCAAAAAGACCGAAAAAAAAAAAAAAAAGCTAGAATCGAAAGGATCTTACATATAAATAAGAGTCTAGCCGGGCATGGTGGTGCACGCCTGTAGTCCCATTTGAAAGGCAGAGGCAGGTGGATCTCTTGTTGAGTTCAAGGCCAGCCTGGTCTACATAAGTGAGTTCAGGACACTTGGGGCTACAGGGAGACCCTGCTTCAAAAAGACCAAAAAAAGGAGTCTAAAAGATATAAAAATCAACATTTGTTTTTATTTTTTTGTATTTGAGACAGGGTCTCTGCACCACCACACCTGGCTAGCATTTGTCTTTAAATGAGAAATTGGTCTTGAATGTAATAGCTTAAATGTAACAACGTCAAGGTATCATGTATTATATACTTAAAATATTCACATAAAAGATAATAAAATATATTGTTAGTCAGTGAGATGGCTCAGCCTTTAAGTAAAGGTGCTTGCTGCCCAGGCCTCACAATCTGAGTTTGATCCCCACAACTAACATAAAATGTACAGGGAGATTAGACTCCAAAAAGCTGTCCTCTGATCTCCACATGCATACCATGATATACATGCTGCACACAGACACACACAGAGGCACAATAATAACAAATAAAAATACACTGGGTACAGCATTTGAACACCAAATGAAAGATATTTACTTAATTTAAAATTTTCATTCATGTTTCCAACTCCCTTTGTCTATCATGCCTCTCTGAAATTACTTTCTTTAAAACCAGTGAGAATAATACTTTAGCTTCTTTAATGTATTAATATATTTCTTTTTCAAGCGTTTTTAAGTGTCTCTTGCCCAACCCCCCCCCCAAATCTTCCTTCTGTATATTTCACAAAGCAGCAATCTACAAGTATTCTAAGTGTATTAGAGGAATAAAATATACCTTGAACAACAACCTGGCTGCCTGGTACAAAGAACTGCTGTGTGCCATCAGCTGACTGTGCTGCATACTGTACAATCGTAGCACCTGGCAGAGGAGCTCCTGAGTTTGTCATTGCTAATGCCTGGAGTCCCTGAACACCATCAGATGCTGCGTTAGAAATCTGGATTGCTCCACCTTGGGCTATAGCAACTTAATAAAAAAAGAAAAGAAATATTAGATAATGTCAAGATTCATTTGCAATCCCATACTGGGGGTACATAATACATTCTATATACTACTGTTGCTTCCATCATTGAGTCACTCTTACTTCTCCAGGCAGAACTAATAAGGGACAGTAGCTTCTTTGTGGGATAAAACTTTCAGAAAGATTACCAACACAAGTGTATTTTATTTTGATGAGTATATTTTGTATTCGAAGTTTTTAATTCCTAGAATCCGCAGAGTTTTCCTCCTGGGCATCTGTTCAACTAAATTATTTAAGAAGAAACGTGAAGAAGTGGATAGGGAGACAGTCCAGCTTCTCAGATAGCTTTAGTTATAAACAACATTCCTCTGGCACTTAGACAGTCTATGATATTTCCACTGAGCACTGCAGTGATCATTAGCTTTGCACCTCCATTCCAATTAACTAGACTCCTATTTTATCACTGAAAGAAAAGTTGATTTAAGAGCTACACAGGTGCATGCTCAGCTTGTGTAGTAGGCACTGGGTTCAATCGCCAGCATCCACCAAAAAGAAGAAAAGAAGGAAGGGAGGGAGGAAGCAAAAAAAAGGCTTTTAAAGTCACATATAGCATATATTCTGATGTTAAAACCAATGCATATAAGACTGTAACCCTGATCCTCTTGGCTATATTAGAACAATCCTGATAAAGTATTAAGTTGGAAAGGGACATACAAGGCCACAATCTGCAATCTAAAGAATTTGTGCTACAATATCTAACTTCACCAAATGTCTTGAATAAACACAGTTGGTGGCAATAAATATGAAGCAGAAAACTTCCTCTGAATTTTGAGATTAGCCAGTCATACCTAAAAATTAACACATTAACTTAAAGTTTCCAAAGATAACTGACCAAATGTTTTACTTCAAAATTTCACAAATAATTAACTGCTTTTTTAAATTGCTGAGTGGTCTGTCTACTTTAACAGAAAGATTATAGCTACAGGGCTAGTAGGATGGCTCAATGGTAAAGGCATTTGGTCGCCAAACCTAAAGACCTGAATTTGATTCCCAGGACCCACAGGGTAGAAGGCAAGAACCAACTCCCACAATTTGTTCTCTGATCTTCACATATACACGTGTGTAAATAAATAAATGTAATAAAATATTTTTAAAGATTATGGATAAAAATTTTAACTTTTATTGTTTTATTGAGCTTTTTAAATTTCATACATTTCCCACTCAAATCCAGACCCCCTCCTCCATCCATGCCTCCCCCTAACCCTCCACAAACCCTATGCACTCTGTCATACATGCTGAGTCTTATTCATTCAGGCGTTTGTACCCAAATGATGGATAAACATTTTAATTTAAGCAGTAGAGATTAAACTTAGGAACTAAGAGCTATACTTTTTCAAAAAAAAATTTCTATATAAACTGACTAGCTAGATTTTACAATTAAAATTTTAAAAACACATCAGAATAACACAATGCCTTAATGGTAATCCTAAAAATATACTCCATGCCCAACTCAAGTCCAAATGTTTTAATGGCATCTAAGCAAGAGATCACTTAGGTGGTATAACATAAAGCTTTCAGCATGGTGGTGGAGTCACAAAAGTGAGTTTTCGGTTCCTCCATCTTAGTTTCTAATGCCCAACACAGAAAGACAAATTAACATTTATAGAAAGATTTCAACACAAATGCATGCCATTATTGTTAAGTACAATTGACAGAAAATAAATACTCAGTAACCGAGTGTCACCAGCTCTGCAGTTAAGTACTGAGGTAGCATCCTTTATCAGCTTCACCTAGTACACTAAATTCTGTGGACATTTTCATAGGAGGATACCGTCAAACCACAACTCATCAAAGATTTCAAGAGTCTCAAGATTTAGCCCTTATATTTAAGGGTGAGAAGAACTCTAAAAGAAATATGAAAAAATATGACACACTGTTTCCTCAGATCTTCATAGTTGGATATGAATGAATTTTATATGCTGTCATGTATTTAAATGTATATTTATATCATTTGATAATTAGTTTGATATCACAGAAATAGGGCCAGAAGAAAAACAGGCCAACAACAGTATAGACACAATGTGTCAGAAGCACAAATCCTAACACAGAGCAGCACTCAATCAATACAATGAATGAATGCCAATCATTTCCCTATCACAGAGTATGTTAGGAACTTGTGGTTCTAAAGAGTTAAATTAAGTATGGTTTCAAACTCCAATTACAGAAATTTCTCTCTGTTTCTTTTTTTTGAGACAGGCTCTCATGTATACGTGAACTCACTTTACAGCCAAAGATGACCTGCCGCTACCTCCTTAGTGCTGGGATTACAGGCCTGAACCACCTCACCCAGTTTCATGAGGTAATAGGGACTGAGCCCAGGGCTTCATGCCTGCTAGGCAAGGACTGTGCCAACTGAGCTACATGCCAGTGCCCAGAACTGAACTGTTCAAAACCAATACAACTATCAGAAATGTTATTAGAATTTTGAGATAGATAACAAATTAGTCTTGACATTTTTTCTTACATTTTTGCTGTTGTTTTTCAGCAATTTTCACTAAATTTCCAGTCAAAACTTTTTTTGCTTTCACAGTATGAACTGCTGACATTGTCAAGGGTCTGTTTGTCTTGTCAAAATATAATTAAAATTGAGGATAAACACACGTATATGCACGTACACATACATACACACACACACACACGCACGCGCACACAAAGTTGGCTTTGCTATGTCTGCCATGCTGAGCATGGGAAAGCGCTTCTATTAAATCTCTTGCATTAGCCTAGTTTTCTTTTTTATGCTGACAGGGCTCTTGATTTTGAAATAATCAAATGACAGGGGACCTTCCTATTCAAAATAATATTTCTAGTTTGGGAATAAATAAGATTAACTAATGCTACAGGGATTCTGAAAAAAAAGGCTATCTATATTCAAAGACGAGCAGGAAACTTTTAAGGATACAAAATATCCAATGATAGAATAATTTACTTTTAGTAAACATCAATCAAGACAAAAACTAGGAAAAAATAAGATAGCATACCTGAATGAATTTAAACATATATTCTATTCCAGCCTTTACAAACAAACAAAACAAACAAACAAGGGGCTAAAGAGATGGCTCAGTGGTTAAGAGCATTGGCTGCTCTTGCAGACCTGGATTTGAATCCCAGTACCACATAGCAGCTAACAACTGTCTGTAATTCCAGTTCCTCTTCTGTCCTCCTGCAGAGGCACTGCACAACATGGATGCACTAAAACATACATGCAGTCACAACACTCATATACAAAAAAATTAAAGTAAAACAAAACAAAACAAAAAACTTTTAGCCAGGTGTGGTAGTTTATGCTCATGCTCCTAGCACCTGAAGGCTAAGGCAGGACTAGTATGAGTTAGAGGCCAGTCTAAGCTACAGTGAGACCCTGGGGGAGGTGGAGACTTATTACAGAAAGCTTTGGGGGCTGGAGAGATGGCTCAGCGGTTAAGAGTACTGACTTCTCTTGCAGAAGACCCAGGTTCCATTCCCTGCACCCACGTGGTGGCTAACAACTGTCCATAATTCCAGTTCCAGGGGATCTGACGCCCTCTTCTGTCCTCCACGGGCATTGCATGACACAGGTGCACTTACATACAGACAGACAATACACTCAAACACATAAAATAAAAACATTTTTAAAAGCTTTTTTTTAAAGATAGCTTCCAACAAGCATAATAGTTAAAAAAAATTATTTACTTGTTTGTTTCAGTTTTGTGAGGCAGGCTCTCACGTAGCCCAGACTATCCTAGAACTCAAAGATGACCTTGAACTCTTAATCTTGTTGTCTCTTTCCCCCACATGCTAGGATTACAGACATGCACCACCACCCTCAGCTGTGAAGAAAAATTTCTGCCATTCATTTCCCCTGCTTACCCTCTCCTTTCCAGTTTTTTCAGGGGGGTCTGAAGTAATCAAAATGAATTTTAGATACCATATCTGGTTGGTCATTCTAAAATTAATTGATTGGCCTCTGAAGTATCTTTGTATCTCCTGTTCATTTTACTCTGGGAGACCTAGACTTTTTAAAAATATTTTACTTATTATTATTATTTCGTGTGTATCAGTGTATTGCCTGCATGCACGTAAGTGCATTCGTGCTGTGCAGTGTCCGCAGAGTACAGAAGAGGGCACTGGTCTCCTTGAACTGGAGTTTTGGAAGGTTGCTGGGATTCAAACCTGGGTTCTCTGGAAGAGCATTCAGTGCTCTTTAACTACTGAGCCTTGTCTCCAGTTCCCCATCTAGGCTTTTTAAAGATTTATTATTTATTTATATGTTACCGTTTATGTGCATATGGGTACCTGCAGGCTGAAGAAGAGGGTGTCAGATCACGTGGAGCTGGAGTTACAGCCAGCTGTGAGCAGCCTGAGGTAGATGCTGAGAACTGAACTCCAGTCCTCTGAAAGAGGAGCAAGCACCCTTAACCTCTGAGTCATCTCTTCAGCCCCAGACCTATGCTCTTTAATGCTTTCCTGAAGTGAAACCTGCAACAGCATAAAGGTTTCTCTCTGACCATACACATTCCTGTTAGCAATGCCGAGTCCACAATGTTCCATGAATACTGATTGAGACTCCAGCAGAAACAAAAGGGTCTTTTAATTTTTCACTATGCACAAATTTATTTTGCTCACAATCTTAAAATTACATAAAATAAAGAAGTCTATAAGTTAAATTGAACTAAAATTGAACATCTATTTTATAGTCATCAAAACTCTATGCCAATTTCCATTTTCAGTTGATTCAGACTTGATACTATGCTTTCGCCTCATAGTGGTAGAGGCAGATAGAGGTTACACTTCTCTTGTTCCAACACTAAACTTTTTTTTTTGGCTAAAATTTTATACTCCATAATTAAGAAGGCCACTCAACACCTACTGGCTGAATGTTAGATATAATGACCTTAAAGTAAGAAATAGTTCAGGTGGGGTGGGACAACTGGAGAGATGGCTCAGCAGTTAAGAGCACTTGCTGCACTTACAGAAAACCTGGTCTATATAGCGAGTTACAGGCCAGCTATGACTACAGGGAGACCCTGTCTCAAAAACTTCAATCGTTTAAATTTGTTGAAGATATTGAATTTTCCTTTTCCTTTTGTGTTTATTAATTCACTCTTTCCTGTATATCTTAAAATGTTTTCTACAACAAGGAAGGTTCTTTGCTAACACTATCTCAGATGTCACCTTACAATTACTCATCTCAGGATATTCCCCTGCCACGGAACAGAGTTTTTTTGACTAAAACCAACTGAACTAGAGAATGAACTGAAGGCTTCACACATACAAGGCTCTACCAATGAGCCACACTCCCAACTCCATCAAACAGTTAAAAAACAAATCTACTGCAAAAATCTGTACTTCCACTGGCGACTTCACAGGTGCTTTCTATTTACTTGGTGCTGCAATAATAAATCCCTGCCTGTTTTAAATTTTTTTAAAGTCCTATTTTAAATCTGCCTATTTTTCCTACTGCAATGAAAATGTTTCTTAGTTTTTTAATAAATAGTAAGGGGAAGCTGAAGATGTAGCTCAGTGCTAAAGCACTGCCTAGCATGTCCAAGATCCCAGATGGATCCCCAGCATTACCAAAATAATGATGTCAATTTTCAACATATATCTTTCAACTATTAAAAATGTAACTATGGGCTGAGGAAATGACTCAGTGGCTAAGAAAAGCACTTGCTGTGCAAACATGAGTACCTGAGTTCAATTCCCACCACCCATGTAAAGGTTGGGCATGGTAGTGTGCGTAGTGGAGACAAGTCGATCCCAGGGCCCTGCTGGTCAGATAGTCTAGCCAAAATAGTGAGCTCTAGGAGAGGCCCTGCCTCGAGGTAAAGTGAAGAAGTCCTAGAGGGAGAGACCCAATGCTGACCTCTGACCTCTGCATATGCATGCAACAGGCAACACACATGGCCACCCACATGTGTACACATACATACAAAAAAAATATATTTTAATGTAACTATTTGTATGTGGAAGAAATTACATATACTACTTATTTTTATGTCTTCAATTGTGATACTCATAGCAGAGTTAAAACTATGAGAGGGACTCAAAACCACACATAGAAAAATACCCAGAAACTTTTGTCAAATAAACTCTATTCTAAAAGCCAAAGGATGCTAACAATTGTTTCTACTTTTAAAACAGGGCATAATGGCACACACATTTAATCCCAGCACTCAAGAGTCAGAGGTGGGTGGATTACTGTGAGTTCAAGGCCAGCACGGTCTACATAGCAAGTTCCAGGATAGTTGGGGCTACAGGAAGACACTATCTCAAAAAGACCAAAAAAACATAAATAAATATTTAGATGTAACATAAAAGCATCAAGTTCTTTAATTTTTCCTAATAACTATAAGATTAATGAAAATTTATCTTCTATGTGTATATATATATAAAACAAATACATCCTCTAATTAAAGTACATAAATAAATTCTTGTGTGTCAAACAGATAAATTTCAATCTTCTCAACAGGCTGTTGTCTATTTTTCACTTAGGGCTCCCAACTCCACTACCCCGCCCTGTATCTAACATACAGAGTAAGCTTTTATGCCCTTGTAGAAGCTACAGCCTTGTAGAAGCTTCACACAGGAGCTGATTGGGAGAAGTTTCATGAGCATGAAAGAGATCATCTCATCTAATTACAGTCCCCTGTCTCCTCCCAATATTGGCATGTCTTTTCCCCCAACTTCTACCTGTTACCTCCTTCTACCTGTTACCTCCTCTTCCCCCGACTTCTACCTGTTACCTCCTTTTGTCTTCATCCTAACCCCAGAGTTTGGCCATTGAAATTATTCCCACTTCAAAGACTAAAACCTGAGGTGCCTCTTGACCTGATCATTGAGGCAGCAAATGGCAGACACCAAAGACCTGAACCATGCCCTCTTCAGCTTCAACATTCTCTCAGTCCTCATTTCAATATGTCACACATTTTGGTAATCATCTAAGCAGATTAACCTACAATATCTACTTCTCTAGTTCCTGTAAAAGGACCACTGTTGTCATGAGAACTCCTAAGCTGTATTAGGCTATGCCAAAGAAATGTCAAGATTACAGCCTTTGAGCTTATCCCCAAAGCTATAAGAAGTCTTAACATTATTTCAGCAGTAATTTCCAACCTTTTCCCTGTCATGGCACAAACAGAAACAATCATCTATTGCCCACTGGGTAAATGGATGAAGTTGTTCAAGGCTAAGGCCCTGCCAGGAGGCTCTAATCTCCCAGGCCTGCTTTGCCGACTAGGACTGAGGATGAGGTGCTCTACCCTCCTGGGACCTGGCACTGTACTGCAGAGGCACAGGTCTCCATTTACAGTCCTAAAACACCAACTACATAATCCCAACAGGCCAGAAAAAAATGTAAATCAGTGAAACCTCAAAGTCCTATTCTTACATTGATGGGAGTTTTGGGGGTTTTTTTGTTGTTGGTTTTTGGGAGGGTTTTTTGTCTTTTTGAGACAAGGTCTCCCTGTAGCCACAGCTCTACAGCTGTCCTGGAGCTCACTATGTAGATCAGACTGGCCTTGAACTCTAAGAGATCCACCTGCCTCTGCTTCCCGAGTGCTGGGATTAAAGGTGCATGCCACCACACCCAGCAGTGGGAGTTTTCTTACACGCACTCTGGATACATTCATCCAGCATCCTGTAGAGGATGTAGATAATGGGAGCTACCCAAAATTACCAAATGACTTTTAGTTTAATACTATAAATATCAGAAGAAAAATTCTGAGAAACAAAACAAAGAAAAACCTAATACCTACATAAGATCTTCTCACATATGAAAGATTATAGCTTGCTTTAATAGCCAAGACTTGAAACTGTTCTAGGTATCACTACTCATTAAATAAAAAAGAAAAAATGTATCTAAAATATTGATGTCTCATTTGGACACAGTACTTAACATCACACATATTCCCAAGTACCCAAGTACTTGCTCCCTTGCCCTCCTTTCTTCCCCTTTTCTTAGCTTCCTAGCTTTCATGTTTCAATACTTCTATGTATCAAATATTCTTTATTTGGAAAAATCACTAGTGCTTTAATTAAAACAAAAAGCACACAATTAATAGTCCATTAAAATGCACAAGTCTAAATGTGAATGTATCTGTTTATTAGAGCTTTCAGTGTGTAAAATTTCAAGTAAAATGGTCTATCCAATTGTTACAGTTTTAAAAGCTAAATCACTTTTTTCATTCTCATCTGGGAAAATATGCAGCAAAATTAACATTGCATGAAAACAAACTTACACTTAAAGCATAACCTAGAGAACATTTACCTCTTTTAGACTAGGAAGTATAGTAAGTTGTTGGAAACAAAAGCCAACAACAATAAAATACAGACATTCATATCATAAAGACAACAAAAAACAGTACAATAGCTTTTAAACTTTTACTTGAAATATAAACATATAAATAGGAAAACCTTTATTGTTAACCATTTATGTTCTATATTCAGTAAGAAAAATTTTTACTTTTCAGCTGTCAGTACAAATATCTTACTGCTTTTAACATGTACTTTTCATTCTATGATACACAGTGGTTATTAAATGCATTTAAATTTTTTATTATTTTTATTTTTATTTTGTGTGTATGCATGTATTGCCTGCATGTATGTAAGTGCACCTGTGTGGTGCAATGCTCAATGCCCTCAGAGGTCAGAAGAGGGTGTTGGGTCCCCTGGAACTGAGTTAGGACAGTTGTTAGTTGCCTTGTGGGTGCTGAGATTCGAACCTAGGGTCTTCAGCAAGAACAGCCAGTGTTCTTAACTGTTGAGCCATCTCTCCAACCCAATAATGCATTTTAAATGTAACATTCGAATGGCCAAACCCAAGTTACTTCACTATAAGTAGAGAAGTCTTAAAGCTAGCACTGTACAATATCAATTTCAGCATACATACTGTATTGCCCCGTGCTAGTCTGATATATGCTAGTTGGTACTGCCATGGTAGCAATGTTAGGTGGTGTTCCTTCTTCCTCTGATTTTTCTTCTTCAATCTTGGGAATACCAGGCACATCAGAGGAAAGTTCATTCAGTATTTTTCTAAAATATAATTTATTAATAAAAGCAATTAGATTACAGGAGACATCAGAAAAAGCTATTAAGGATTGCTTTAGTCTAAAATTACTGTACCTTTGTGGGGGAAAATATTCTAGTAGGAAACTTGGTTTACTCACCTATATGAGGGTCTTCGTGAAAGGATTTCTCTACGTTTATGAGAATCAATTACACCTTCTGATTCTGCAGAATCATCTGTCTCTGCAATTGTTGCTACCTATAATACAAGATTTTCTGAAATGCATCATGAAATATATGATCTTCATCCACATTTAAAAAATAGCAATTAAGAGTCTTTGTGGATAGCAGTGAGCTTGGTGCTTAGGCAGAGATGGAGGCAAAGAATGGTACAGATAATAAATACTGCATAAATGCAATGAGAAGAATACTTGGGATGCTAAGTAAGGCTTCAAAGGGGGCAAGGCACAAAACACTCAAGACCCAAGATCCAAAACCTGAATGTGTCCTTAGAAATCCAAATATGAGTGAGTGAGCCGATGGCTGAGGCAGAAAAACTGCCCAATTTAGCACTGACTTCACAATACTAAAGCTGCCTTAAGCTGGGTCTTCAACCTTGACATTAGATAGGCCCAAAGAAGAGGCTAGAGAGATGCTCAGCAATTAAGAGCACTTGCTGCTCTTCCGGAAGATCCAAATTTAATTCCCTGCACCCACATCAGGCAGCTCACAACAACTGTAGCTCCAGCCCCAAGGGATCTGACTCCCTCTTCTAACCTCCTCAGGCACTAGAAGACACATGGCATACATTCACACAAATGTACATATATCAATAAAACTTTTTAAAAACAGGCCCAAATAAGAATGAATTTTTAAGTATACAAATGAATAAAATCAGACTGAGATCAAAACTGGGATTTATGCTAAAAAGAATATGTCCTGAAGTCAAAATAACAAGTCTCTCCTTAAAAGAAGCATCAGGGCCAGTGAGACAAACAGCTCAGCAGGTAAAGAAACATATCACTAAGCCTGACAACCTGAGATCAATTCCCAGGACCCGCATGGTGAATAGAGAGAACAAACTCCTGCTTGTTGTCCTCTAACCTCCACAGAAGCACTGTGACACTCACACACATGAGAGTGAGCACTTACACATACATGAAAGATAGAGGGAAGGATTGGATAAACAGGTAGGTAGGTTTTTTTTAAGCAGATCAGCATTTTCTACATGATTTCTTTTTTCAAGCCAGGTAATAATATAATGATATGATAATTGAAGAATGTGAGAAAGCTAAAATAATGAATCTCTAAACATGCCTGCTGTCATTTAACTCTAAGACTTAGGGTAGGTGAGTTTACAAAACTTACTTTGTCCCATACTACAATTATGTGTAAATTTGATGTGGGGGAAGAAGACAAGCTATTACTAACAATATCAAGAATGAAAGCAAAAGCACACATCATTTCTGATATACAACATGGCAGACATAGCTAAGAACAATGTAGGGATGTAGCTTAGTTGACAGAGTGCTTGCCTAGCATGCACAAAGCTCGATCCCCAGCAACTTGTAAAACCCTAGTGTGGTAGTGAATGCCTGTAATGCTAGCATTTGGGAGGTAAGCGTAGGAGAATCAGAAGTTCAAAGGTCATCCTCTGCTATATCATTAGTTTGAAGCTACTTTGTGCTTTATGAAACCCCCCTTGGGGAAAAAAAAGCCAAAAAGCCAGGCATGGTGGTGCACACCTTTAACCCCAGCACTCAGGAGGCAGAGGCAGGTGGATCTCTGTGAGTTTGAGGCCAGTCTGGTCTCCATAGCAAATACAGGCAAGCTGGGGCTACAGGGAGACCCTGTCTCAAAAAGACCAAAAAAAAAAAAGGAACTCACTATGTAGACCAGTGAGGCTTGGAACTCATTCTGTAGACCAGGCTAGCCTCAGTCTCACAGATATCTGCCTGCCTCTGCCTCCTGTGTGCTGAGACTAAAGGCGAGCACCATGTCTGGCTGTCAAATGTATTTTTCCTCTTTTTTAAAAAATATTTTATGTTTATTTTATGTATGTAAGTGTATTGCCTGTATGTATGTAAGTGCTCCCGTGTCATACAACATCTGTGGAGGTCAGAAGAGGGCATCGGATTCCCTGGAACTGGAGTTACCAATGGTTGTTAGCTGCCATGTGGGTGCTGGGAACTGAACCTGGGTCCTCTGTAAGAGCAGCCAATGCTCTTAACTGCTGAGCCATCTCTCTAGTCCCTTTTTTTTCCTCTTTAAAATTGCAAAAGTTTTGCCAGGTGTGGTGGCGCACACCTTTAACCCCTGCACTTGGGAGGCAGAGGCAGGAGGATCTCTGTGAGTTCAAGGCCAGCCTGGTCTACATAACGAGTTCCAGTCAAGCTTGGGCTACAGGGAGACTGTCTCAAAAAGACAGGAAAAAATGCCTAAATTTGGATGAAGAAAGATGATTCAGTGGGTAAAGGTACTTCCTGCCAAGCCTGACAACCTGAGTTTGATCCAGACACATATCATGGAAGGAAAGACCACCTCGCACAAGCTATCCTCTGACCCTACATGTACTCTAGAGCATACGCACAAACACACTAAAATAAATAAAAATGTTTGAAAAACAGTGTAGGGCTAGAAGGTGGCTCAGCAGTTAAGAGCACTTGCTCCTCTTGTATAAGACAGGGTTCAGTTCAGAGCACCTACATCAAGCAGCTCACAAGTGCCTATAACTCCAGCTCCAGGGAATTCTTCTGGCTTCTGTGGGTACCTCCAGACATATGGTATACATACAGACAAGCAGGCACACACACACACACACACACACACACACACACACACACACACACACACATATACACACAAATAAAAATAGATAATTTTTTTTAATTGCAAAGGTTTTCAGAGGCTGGAGAGATGGCTCAGTGGTTAAGAGCACTGGCTACTATTGCAGAGAAACAGGGTTCAGTTCCCAGCACCCATATGGCAGCTAACAACCATATGTAACTCCAGTTCCAGGGGATTCAACACCTTCTTGTCCACAGACATTGCACATGTATGTAAGTGGTTACATACATGCAGGCAAAACACTCATATACATAAAATAAAAATAAATTAATTTTTAATTGCAAAGGTTTTAGTAGAATTACCAAAGTGTTCCCAACATGAAAAATAAGGATGTAAAGCAATGCACATGTTAATTAGCCAACTTAGTCATACCACAATGTATACATATCTCAAAACAAATATGTTGTCCAGGATAAATATAAAAAATTTTTGTTTTCCAAGTAAAAATATACAAAATGTACATTTCTGATTTTAATAAAAATATATAATCTCCAAAGCACATGGATGGGTATATTTATTCACCTATAAATATGAAACTTCTGGTCATGGACACTCCACACCAAAGCACACACACAAAAAAACAGAACTTATTGGGAAAAATGCCGTTGCCTTATACAGTCAGGTGTCACTACCAGGCATTTATCACTATACATGGGTCTTTGAGACATTTGTCCTATAACCACAGAAATCCCCCATGTGAAGTAGGCGACTGTTTTATCTACTTTAGAAAAGCTGAGGTGCATATAAACAAAATACATTATGTAAATGAAAGCACTACAATGAAACCATTATTATGTATAATCAATACATGCTAATAAAAATATTGAAAAAGGGGCTGGAGAGATGGCTCAGTGGTTAAGAGCACTGGCTGTTCTTGCAGAGGATCCATGTTCGAATCCCAGCACCCACATGGCTGCTAGCAACCATCTGTAACTCCAGTTCCAGGGGATCCAACGCTCTTCTGTCCTCTGCAGGCAGTGGAGAGGTACATTTACAACACAGGTACATTTACATTCAGGGATAAAATTCATACACATAAAATTTAAAAATAAATAAAATGTATTTTAAAAAACATTGAAAAAGAATTTTTTAAAGTTTATGCAGAATGATCTTGACAAAGACATTCAGTCATTCATTTAACAGAACGATAGCAATAACAAGAATCTTCTGAATACAAGACAATGCTGTCTTCCAATAACAGCCAGGAAAAAAACTCCAAACCAAAGCCTTAATACAAGTAAGAGTGTGGGAAAAATTTCTTGCTTTATAATAGGATCAGAAATTACAATTCTTACAATTCTTAAAATCGAGAGTCATCACAAAGAAATGAAAGATAATGATAAGTATTTTTACATTTCTGAGCAACCAAGGAAAAGATGCCTTTGTTGAAAAGACAACCAGACTTTTAAAGCACATGAATTTATCACATTAGTGTCTTGCTGCATCATCCTATTCTGTGATAGACTATACTCAGGCATGTAGGCAAAGGACAAGGCTAAGCACATGCATGTTCATTTTCCTCAGAGATTTGTTTTTGCCCATCAATTAAGTTCAAATAATATCAACACTCAAAAGATAGCCTAAAAAAGAAACAGAAATAATGTCAGTAAATATGAAAAGCATGCTATAAAATGCATACATAGTAATTTACATTAATAAAAAAATAACTTCAAGAATTTAGGATTTGTGATCATTTTGATAGCAAGTAGTAAAATAGTATTTGGATCCCAAGCACAAAAATAATCTCATCTACAAAAGCCCAGGTTCAATCTGAGGAGTGTATGTCACATAATTCCAGCACCAAATGACAATGACTCTTACCTGTGGGCTGGAGCACCGTCATTACTAGAATATGTGTTTAGCATGTGTGAAGGCTGGAGTTTAATTCCCAGCACCAAAATAAATAAATAAATAAATAAATAAATAAATAAATAAATAAATAAATAGGAATAGCCTTACTTACTAAGATTTTGCTCACTGAATCTAAAATAAACAAATTGCTAAATCAAGTGCAATGATGCATGCATGTAATCCAAGCACTCAAGAAGCTGAGGCAGGTGATCTCTGAGTTCAAGGCCAGCCTGGACTACACAGTGAGTTCTAGGCCAGCTGGGGCTACAGGGAGACCCTGTCTCAAAAAGACAAAGAGGAAAAAAAAGAAGCTGAGGTAGGAGGTTTGCTGCAAATTTGAGACTAACTTGGATTACATAGTGAGTTCAATACCAACCTGGAATACACAGTGAAACCTTCTCTCAAAGAAAATAGAACTAAAACAGAACTACTAAAGTTGAGTGTTTACAAACACAGTACCAGGTCTATACTCATCATATTACTGTGCTTATTAGATCTTCTGCCAAGACCCCTTAAAACACCACTAGGGAGTTCTGCTAAATAAAACTAAATCTGAACACAAAAAGCTAGAAGATATGAACTGCTTATCTAGCAAGGATTCACTGTATAAATTAATAGCAGACAACAAAACTCCAGCACTTAAGCCAAATCTACACACACTAGCAGGACACAATGGACCTCATATATAAAAGGAAATTCTTCCACATATCTAAGAAGAAGACTTGAATATAAAGTTACATAAGACGGGTGTGGTGGCACATTCCTGTAGTACCAGAATTTGAGAGTCTGGGGAAGAGGACCACGAATTCAGCCTCAGCTGCATAGTAAGACCCTATTTCAAAATAAAAAAAAAAAGGAAGAAAGGAAAGAAAAATAATAGATAAATTAAGCAAAAGAAAAAATTTTAAATCTCAATAAAATCAAAGATAAATCATCAGGGAAGGAAGCTAACCTGAACAGTTTGTATTTGTGGTGACTGAATGACCGATGGATGTGATGTCTGAATTACTCCCTGGACCTGTACAGTCTGGCCCGAAGGCAACTGTACTAGAGTCACAGCTGGGGAGCCTCTTCCAGTGCCTGATCCAGCTACAGAAACCTGAAAAAATGATCATCATTGAGGATTAAAGCTAGACTTGAATTGCTTTTGTTTATTTTTTAAGTTCCTACAACTGGCCTACTTCTTTCTCCTGCATCTAACAAATGACAAGTGGGGTACTTACCATGAGGGGGTGTCACTATCCTGGAACTGTCATTCTCTGATGTGAAAGATACTAAAGAACCCATGTGCCTCACTTTTAGTGCCCATGCTTGATGGCTAAGAATGTTCCAAGCGTAAAGTTCTAAAGCAGTTAAACTACCTCACTAACACTTCATGGCTTATTGTGAAAGTGATGTCTTTTTGAGGTCAAAGTATGAACCACTCCTTAGCTTCTTAACAGAAATTGGAAAGAATTTAAATGTGGTGGATTGTTTTTGATAATTGAAATGTTTTATATATGATACATCTTTTATTACTTTAGATGCAAGCTAATACTGTCTCTACATTGGTTAAAAAAAAAAACAAACCTACTTTTCATGATCCATAAACACACACACAGAGCAAGAAGAAAATTCCAAGACCTTTTAAGCCTTTGGTGTCTCTGTTCCAGAGAAAGCTAGGTGTCCTCCTGCCACTTATCCTCGTCTCAACATGGAGCATTCAGAGAGGCTCAGTGCCATCCGTCAACTTTGAATTGAGAGAAGAGTAAATATACGCATCTCCCAACTACTGAGTACGTTCAACAAAGACCCCTACCAGCAAAACACAGTAGCTCTACTCCCCTGGTCTCAAAACCTAAGTTCTTAAGTTCTCGAAGTAGAAAATTTGCCCTACACACCAGTGTAATTTTAGAAATTTTTCTTAATTTTACATAGAGCCACTATGAATTATGACCTCCTCAAATTAAGTTTAAGAGACTGAAAATGAACAAGCTAAGAGTTTCCATCATGGATAGCAGAAGAAGCTCAAGATTTTAATTTCGTATGGCAGTCTCTATGTATGACCTTACTGTAAAAGAACACCAATGCTTTCCAATCTACTTTACTAGTGCTCATTACTTAAAGAATTATTTAAAACTGGATCTTCATGTGGGTTGGTGGCATGTGTCTGAAATCTCAGCACTCAGGAGGTTCAGGCAGGAAGATCATGAGTTTGAGGCCAACCTGGGAAATATAGCAAGACGACGCCAAAAAACAAAACTGGATTTATAACAAAAAAGATTTACTTACATCATTTTCCTAGAAAGTGAACAGTTTCTCTAGTAATCCTAAAGTCAAACTTATAATACATTAAATAGAAGATATATGTTGAGCAGTGTACTATGCACAAGTAGAAAATAGAGTTGATAAAACTGATACCTAAAAGGCCAGGCATGGTAGTGCAGGCCTTTAATCCCAGCACTCAAGAGGCAGAAGCAGGCAGATCTCTGTGAGTTCAAGGCCAGCCTGGTCTACATAGTGAGTTTCAGGCCAGCTGTGGCTACAGGGAGACCCCATCTCAAAGGAAAAAAAAAAAGAAACCTAAAAAACAATAGCACACCAAACAGCAAGGAGCTAACTGTCCATTTTATAAGCGTAATATCACCTACATGCAGAAGAAAGATCAGCGTGGCCCTGAACAAAAAGTGGAGGCTTTGTATAGAGCCAGAGCTGTAGTCAGACCTTGATCTAAATATAGTGATCTGACAGAGTGAAAAATTAGGGCAGAGACAACTAATCTAGATAGCCCAACAGGTGATTTCAGCTGGCATATCCCCAAAGTCATTAACCTTGGATTAACCTTGGAATATTTTATATGGAACCACAAGTTGACCAACTAAAGGTAAAAAGGGGGAAAAACAGATTTATTCTATAAATTTTCTCATCACAAAAGGCAACTCTGTACAAATCATAAAATGACATCCACTTCGGTGCTGATTAATTGCCAGAAGATTTCCTTCTCAGCAAAACTAATTCTCAAACTTTTTAGCTCAAGGTCCTTTACACTGAAAACTACCTCAGAGTTTTTTGCTTGCTTGCTTAATTTTCTATTACATGTATTTATTTTGAGTGTGAGTGTTTGGCATGTGTGCCAAGTGAGAAAACCTATGGGAGCCAGTCTTTCCTTCCACCATGCAGACCTCAGGGATCAAACTCCAGCTGTCAGGCTTGGCACGGAGTGCTTTTACCCACTGACCCATCTCACCAACCGTCAGAGAGTTTTTATTTGTCTAAATTTCCTGGATTTACATCTAGTAGAGTTAGTAAACACTTAACAACTAAAGCTGTGTGTGGTAGCACACGCCTTTAATCTCAGCACTGGGAGGCAAAGGCAGGCGGATCTATGTGAGTTCCAGGTCAGCTGAGGCTACGGGGAGACCCTGTCTCAAAAACACCAAAAAATAATAATAATAATAATAATAATAATAATAAATAACTAGATCGTAAGAAGTGGAAATCCTGATTTATATCTTTTGCTTATTTCTGTGATATAAACTACTACAGTGCCTGACTTCAGCCTACTAATGGATGACAAGAGACACAAAGTCAGAAAAAGATGCATATATCTGGTTCTTGCAAATCATACAAGATAGCTTTAGAGGGTTTTGTCTACTGATATATATCACACTAGAAATTAAAATGACGAAACAATTGCTTAAGAACTCAGCAACAATAAATTTATGACATGCTATGATTTAATGAAAACCAATTATATTTTCCAAAAAAAAAAATTATTACTGACACTAGTGATACTGTTTTTACTTTTGTAATAAAGAATTATATGTATGTATGAGTGCTTACATGTACATATATGCTCCATGTGTGAGTCTGGTGCTCACAGAGGCCAGAAGGAGGTGTCAGATCCCCCAGGAACTGGAGTTGAAGAGAGTTGAGTCACCATGTGGGTACTAGAAACCGAACTTGGGTCCTCTCCAAAAGCAGCAACTGTTCTTAACTGACAAGTCATCTCTCCAGCCCCGCACCCTCCCCCCCTTTTTGAGACAGGGTCTCACTATGTAGCCCTGACTGGCCTACTATTCACTATGTAGTCGAGGCTGGCCTGGATTAAACCTATGGAACACCACAACAAGGTAAAGATTATTTTAATGACTAAGACTTTTGTTGTTTTTGTTGTTGTTTTGGTCTGATTTTTGAGACACATTCTCACCAGCACAGGCTGGCCTGGAACTTGCTATATAACCCAGGCTGGCCTCAAATGCATGATGATCCTCTTGCCTTAGCCTCCCAAGTGATAGAATTACAAGCATGCTTCTTAATGGCTTGTTCAATTAAAAAGAGTCAGAGTCTTACCTCTACTTTGGCAATAATTCTACCACAGGATGTTGTGTTAGGTGGTATGTGAAGAAAAATCTAAGCCTCACACAGAAAAGCATATTCTTCTTCGACACAACTCTAAAACGCACATGCAGTTATTTCTGAAACTGTACCAATTACATTAAAATATACTGACCTACCTTATCTTCTGGATGGATCTTTAACCCACTCAAGATTACAGAACATCAGAAAGCAGTTCTGGGAAAGCACTGGCTCACGGAGTAAAGCTAGCACATTTCATGGCCCACTAACAGAATTCATACTAAATCATCACCAAACCCATTAGGAAACTATGAATATTGCTGAGCTCACAATAGAAAATACAGGTTTACCATTTAAAATTTGCTTACAAGCTTGAATTTTATCATTGCCAAAAACCACTGCCAGTCATTTTCCTTGAAGTAACAACCACCTTTTATTTTTGCGGAAATGTCAAGTTTGAATAGCCATAGTTTCATTGTTAGTCATTCTTTTGAGAAAATCTATGTCCTGTAGAAAAAAACACTCAGCTAGGTCATCTTGCCATTCAAATAATAACAAGAGTGCTTTTTCTCAAGAACATATCACTTCATGACACAGAATATTAAAGCAGTATGTACTTATACATAATGGGTCAAGCTGTACTGCAATTGCATTTTTACTGATCCACCAGGGATATTCTCATGTGAAATTGGTTTGTTTAAATTTCAAATTATGGTAGTAAAAAACACAAAGGCTGGGGTTGGACAGATAGTTCAGCAGTTTAGAGCATTGGCTGCTCTTGCAAAGGACCTGGGTTCAGTTCCCAGCACCCACATGGCTGCTAACAACTCCAGTTCCAGGGGATCCAATGCCCTCTTCTGGCCTCTATGGCACAGGTACCACACAACACTAGTGCACTTAGGTACATGCAGGCAAAACACTCATACAAATAAAATAAAAAACATTTTTTTAAAGCTACAAAGGCTATTGGTGCACATTGGTGCCTCTAACACAATTTAAGCTAGGACCAACAGTTTATCATGCCCTATCCTCCCCCTACCCCATGGTTTGTGTCCCAAAAGTGCAAATGTTAATAGAAAAGGAAAAGAAAATAACACCTTAGCATTACTGTAATTTAAAAAGTTTATCCTAACAAATCTTTTGAAAGCATCCTCAGAGTCTCCTCCAAGGTTCTTTGCAACAAGCTACACTGTGCTGAAAGGGAGGAGACAGGCAAAGATTTCAGCTGAGAAAGTCTCATAGCCAGAACTCATATCCAGTAATGCTGACAGCTTGTATGTCAGAGACCAGAAAACTATAAATTAAGCTCTGTAACTTGCATAAAAAGCAAAGTGAGGAACTGAAGAGATGGCTCAGTGATGAAGAGCATTGACTGCTCATGCAGAGGACCCAGGCTCAGTTCCCAGCACCTACAAGGCAACTAACAACTGTCCTTTACTACAGTTCCAGAGGATCTGACTGTTTTCTGGCCCCCGTTGGCACTGCACATATATGGTGCACTTACATACATGCAAGCAAGATACTCATACATAAAAAATAAAAATAAATAAAAGATTTTTTAAAAACAAAGTGGAAAAGAGCCCAAAATTTTTAATACTAAGAGAAGATTTGATTGCCCAGCTTCCATCACATTAGTTAGAGAAAAAGGATGACCCTTACAGATCTGCAGCCTCACTCAACTTAGGGTGCTGAGTCCTCTGTGTGTACCCAAAGTACTACCCCTGCTTTCCCTTTATTCATTCTTTTTTTAATGAGATGAGA